TGGCTCGGGGTGAGCCCGCCCTCGCCGTGAGGGGCTGGCTGTGTCCGGTCAGAGCGGCCGCAGCGCGGGCCGCAGCCATCTGGGTAACCTTCGTAATCTCAGCATTTATGTTAAGCCAGCAAACTCAAACCCAGGTTCATGTACAGTTGACAGGATTTTGTAGCCTGGTTCAGTATGTCTTTGGTACAAGCAGCTATGATTTTGTGAAAAATATTTCTGAATGTGTACAAGCTCATTGCTCTAGTCCCTTTCCCCTTGTGTCAATTACATGCAGAAATTACCCCCAAAGAGACCCCAAAAGAGATCCCAAGGCTCTTGCACTAAATCCACCCTGCAAGACGATATACAAAGAAAGAGAGAACGTCGCTGGTATTTAAAGGCCAGCGGTACCAGTACTGGGTTAGGAAAGACAAATTCAGGACAGAAATTCTGTGGTAGTTGAAGGAATCAAGAAGAAGTTCCAGCAGATGGCAGGGAAAAAATCAAAAGAGAGAAATGCTCCAGTGAGCAGTTGAAATGCTCTGCTGAATAGTTGTTAACCATGCTGTCCGGTGCACGTCATGTTAGAGTTTCTTGTTTTCATTTTTTTCCCCAAAACCACATGCCTAGCCCAGCCATGCTGGGCTAACTCATTCTGGATGCATCCACCTGCGTGATTTTCATGCAAAGGTGTTTCAGGGGAGCAATGACAGGAGCTGGGGACGAGGGGTGGGTGCTGAGGGCCCAAGGGGGCTTCTCTATATTGCTGGTGATCCATGATGAGTCCCATTTTGGCATGGGTGGGAATCTGTAGGCAGGCATTGGGACACTGTGTTTTTCATATTTTCCCTCCCTCCGGCTGCTAATTGCCAGTGTGACGCAGGCTAAACACAGAGCATCACCAAGTCCCCCTACTCTCCATCTAACTGGAGTAATGATGGCTTGCCGGCCTCTGTGACCTGAAGTTTGCAAATCCAGAGACACCTTGCTGCTCACAAATCTCAAGTCCAACCCACAGGATTGTTCTGGCCCCTTCTCAGTCTGGATTTTAAATCTGAAGTGGAATGAAACGCTTCTGGCTGCTGTTCCACATTGAGTCAGGGTACTGATCACGGGACACGCGGCTACACCAAGAATGTCCTTTGTTAAAACCAGAGATATGCGGACAAGTAATATTTCATGGACATTTAGTATTTAGTAACTTTAAAACATAAATACATTTTATCTTACCTTTCATCCAAGGGAAAACAAAGAGGATGTACTCTTAAACCTGTGCTAATGAGCATCTGGTGGCCGTGGCCACCTGTCCTGGTAGCTCATCTGCTCTCCGGACTGCAGTTAATGATGACAACAACAGAAAAATAACCCTCCCTATTGCATGAACAGGTTTCAGTGTATTGTGGTTTTATTCTTTGCAGTTCCTCGTCCCTCCTGATTTGCACTGATAGACCTACTATCTTACCTTTCTAAGAAGACTGACTTCAGCTAATGCCCATGTCTTCGTGTTAGTATTCCTGTGCTAAGATCCTCTGTCTTTCTGAAGCCTCTTAAAATGATTAATTTTGACTTGACGGATGCATAAGTAATTCCTCCTTTGGCATTTCACATTGATTTTCTGTGTTTTCATTAAGGTTAATGCTCCTCAGATGAAATCAGCTCTATTATCATTCTATTAGTTTGATTTTGGCCTAGTAGCATTTCCATCAGATTTTGATCATTGCAGGAACTATAACTATCACAAAGCTCCTGTAATAAAATTGGATTCAGGGAAAAAAGCCCATAAATCCTACTGTCACAAGGAACCAATTAGAAGCCAACAAGAGATTGCATCTGCTGGGAGTACTTGTAATTGATGAAGAAGGTTGCAACCAAGCTGATGAATACCTCTTCACAACAGATTTCAGTCAGCTCTTACGTTACCTGAAATTATGGATGACGCTGTGTGAGAATGTGAGCGATAGTTAACAGAAAACAAGAATCCAGAGTCTGTAAGTGATAATTAGAACAACAGTGACAACCAGCAAAATAAAAGCAACCCCTGACTTTAATTAGAAGGGCAAAAAAGAGATTGTTTCTCCTAGTATTTGTAGCTGAGAATTCCCTGACAGCATGACATGAAAAATACACTGAAGGAAGATTTTCTTTGGCCCAAGAAACACCTACAGGGATTTTTCTTGTGTGTATTTTAAGACTATTCATCTGCTGAGAGTGAAACATAGATCTTACGCTATTGAGGCCTTTGTTTTGAATTAATTGGCTCTAGAATAGTTTCTATTTCAGTTTTGAAGCAAAATATTGAGTAAAATACTGAGTTACTAAACTTTTTATTTCTAATTCCACTATTGATCTGTTCAGTGTGTTTTTTTCCTCTGTGATTTGGATCTTTATCCACAGGACAATTTGGAGAAGCACTTATTTATGGAAGTAGGTTGACAGGAGAATTTGTCACGTATGAGTAGAAAATATCTGCTATAACTCTGCCCATTCAGTCGTGGTATCCAACATCCCTAAGGCTTTCTCCTACAGAGTTGTTCCATTCTCCTTAGCTCAACACCACAAGATGACACAAGCTATATATATAAATTTGACTGCACAAGCATCTCTCTCACATGTTGTACCATCCTTTTAATGTTCAGAACTTCAGAGTACAGAAGTATGTTGATCAGCCACACGTGACCTGATCTTTACCTTCTTCAGAAGAAAAGCATTCCTACCCCCGTACCTGAAAAGCTGTGCTGCTCTCCATTAGCTGTCACTGATGGACAGCAGTAACGCTTGGACTTTGTACCACGGCTTGACTTTTTTTCCTTGAGAATGGTCTGCATGACCTTGTCTGAAGCTGGGGGCTCACTGGAGTTTTCCTTGTACCCCATTATGCTAGAACAGCCATCCCCAAAACAGAACCCCTCTTTCAGGTTCATGAATATGCCCTTTCTCCTCACCAGTCAAAGTACCGACCTAGGATCTACTCAAAGACTCCCGTGAGCACACACAGTCCTTCAGGGGGATTTTAGGTGACTGTCTCCACAATTTCCCTCACCTCTTCCCTTCTGCTCCTTTCTTTCTGCATTAGGAAGATGCAATTGCCTAAAATCCAGAGACACAGATTCCTGCTTCCTTGCCTTTATTCTGAACAAGATTTTAACCGATGAGTCCCTCAGATGAGCACACCCAATGGTTAGAATAAGGTTTTGGGATCAGAGCACCTTGTCTTTTGTTAAAGCCATTACAACTGTAGAAGCAAAAACTAATTACTATTGTATTTTGTTATAGTTTTGGCCTTTACATAAACCTACTCCAGTATAGGTGCTTCAGTTATAAATGCAGTTTGTCTTGCACTTTATCTTCTAGAGATCCAAGTATTTCTACAGATCACACTGCCTATACATGAAGGAGGATTCATGCTTCCTAACTCTGACAACCCAACACCTCTGAGACCAGTGCACTGTAATGGCAAATCAGGAAGCATTCAGGCTTATTATAATATGAACTTCAAAGTGGAAAGGTGAGCCAAGAAGTAATAAAGTGATATTAAAAATAAAATGTTGAACTTTCATATTCAGGTTGTGTGATCATCCCACCCTGCTCCTTCTGAACACCCTGCTCACAATTCTGGCAATCAGAATGAAGTGGACTAGACACAAACGAACCTTGCTGGTGCGCCTCAGAGCCTAACAGACCTACCACAGAACAAGATTGCACAGATCTAACTACTGGATTATAATGAGTCCTGTCATATTTGCTTCTAGAAATTAAGTTTTGAACAGTGGAGGAAAAAAAAAAAAAAATCTTTCCTTACACCAAGGTTGGCAGGTCAGTTCAAAACCACTTGGAGGCTTCCTTCCAACTGGGCAGGGCCATAGTGATCAACACTCTTCAGCGGAAGGATGATGCCGTAAGGAGACACCATGCATCTCTTGCTTTCCTGCCCATTTCCATTAGTGTAAATGTTAGTTATTTGCAAAGACGTGAAACTCCTCATTTGCATGGATCCCAGCAATTTGCTTGAGTTGTTTCCTGCTGTTCATGCTGGTTCATATTTTGTTAAGAGTTGTGCATCTTCCTCCCTTATGCAATGCAAGTTAAGACCTGGTTTTTTGTTGAGATAAAAACATCAGTGAGGGCAAGAACAGAACTCACACGCTACAGTTCTTTCTACAACAGCTTTTCAGCCATAGGTACTTGCAATCCTGCTTCAACTTCCAAAATATTCACAGGCATAGATAATTTTACGCTTGCAATAGATTTATTTTGAAATGTGCAAATCCATTATACTCCTCTTTTTAAATTAGGTTACATCCATCTCAGCACTTTTTAGCACAATACTGTACAGGTTCAAATGAATTTTTTATAATAAAGAAGAATCAAGACAACACCTTAAAAATGATCAGTTCTATAAAACCAAGTGGCTTGGGTACACCAGGAGCTATGTGTATCAGACCTAAATGATCTGTTTTAAACCTTACCCACATCTGGCTAAAGCAGGAAGTTACATAAGCCATCAAAAATTTAACATCAGATTAGTATGGTCACAAGGGCAGAAATAAAACTGCCATCTGGAGAAAGAGCAGGGTTCATTTCAAATGCTCGATGAATACAGCACTACTCCATTTTGCTGAAAGCTTCTCAAACAGCTTTTTTAATACATTAAGTTTCCTGATATATACTATCTGAGAGATGAAGTATTTACAGGCTCACAGTACTTTCAATTGATCAGCATATATCCCATCTCCCTTCTGACTTCAGTGATTCAGCCCCGTTCTGTGGGCTCGCCATAAGGGCAGAGCATATCAGGGGAATGTTCCTTAAAGATTTCATAGCAGCGGACACACTGGGAGTTCTTTAATGCATCCATGTTGTTAACCTATAAAAATTCTTTTCCTAAAGCAGATTAAAACAAGATTAGTGAGTATAGGGCAGGGTAGGAGTTTTACCCTTTTCCCATTGATTTAATGAGAAAAAACCCTGAAAACCTCCTCACAGGATGTAAAGTTGAGTGTTATTTGAGCAGGAGAAAAACCCAAACCACGTGTTTGGCACGTGAAATTCCAGAAGATGAAGAATTGGAGGGCATCACTCAATTAATGCAGTCCATAACGTGAATCTGCAGTGTGTCCAAATCAGGCAGAATTTCTTCACATTTGGGACATGAATACATTGAGATATTCCGCTGCTCTGGCCAGTCTTGACTACCAGTTCCTGCAAGCAGAGAAGATAAATGATTTTTTCTTGTATTACCTGGCTTTTTTCACTCTTTTTTGTGGAGTGGTTGAAAGAGGACTGGCTCGGTCCTAACGGCCAGAGAATCATGCTCTCTGCAGCTAGCCAGTTGCCAGAATAGCCACAGGGGAGCTGAGGAGCTGCTTACAGCCAAGCAAAGCTGTTCTAAACTGAACCCAGCAGGGCCTGGCCCCATGAGCTGGAGAGGTTGCTTACGGTACCTCTTTGGACAAGGTGAGGTGAGTGTTCTCGCTCTGGTGCCCTGGCTCCGTGGCGATTCTGCATCTCCGCCAAAGAGTTCCTGCAGAGAATAAATAAGTCAAAGGCTCTGAAAAAAGACTAAGGAAAAGGTATCTTCCCTTTGTCTCCAGTAAAGGTAAGAGGATTCAAAATAAAATCAAAGGATTCACAAGTAAATCATGTCAACTGGTCATGCATTTAGTTCACAACTGCTGCTCAGAAACAGGACCTAGAAACACTGCTGCTTTGTGAGATCATGCCAGGGTCAAAAATCAGGGTCATACAACTGACACCACCAGGATTTGGGCAGCTACACACCTAGGGATCTGGGGCACGCTCCTCTGGAAAACTCCAAGGACTCTCAGCTATTCAGGGCAAACTGCAAATTTGATTAAAGCAGAAAAGCAAGTTATACCAGGAAAAGGGTTCCGTGTACAGTTAATGTGAAACGTAACTTGATTATTCAAATTCTGGGCACTCTTCTTGTACCCATGACTTCCACAATATGAGTGGAGGACATACGGTTAATATTTTTTTTCTCTTTTACAGCTAAGAGTGCTAAAATGGTGCAATTTCAGGGTATCACAGTACTTGGAAGCTATGGGTACTCACTTATCACTGCCACCTGGAGAAGCAGCAGATATCCCTGGCACACATGCAGCAAGCTTAGCTGCAGATTCACCACTAAGGTGAGAACCCAAAGAAACTCAGATGAATCAGCAGGGAGAATTTACCAAGCATGAATTATCCAAAGTGAAAACTTGCTAAGGCAGCCAAGTAAGAACTAACACACCTTACAGAGATTCTATCACAAAATTAAAATGAGAAGTCAGCCAATTCATTTTTTTTTCTCTTTTAAAATTCAAATTAACCAAGAGATAAAATGTCTGCAAAGTTGTTTGCCTTTCTACTGAGATGCTAGGAGGATAATGTTGGTCAACTCCAGCACATAAGGGTAACAAGACAGTCTAAAGGCAGCTCAGCCAAAATTTCTTCTCACCGGCCAAGATCTTCAAGGTTTTGCTGCTCTTTTAGCAGGTATGCCAGCTGGACAGCCAACTGCTCCTTCTCCTCATGGATCTTCTCTCTTGCTGCCCTCTCAGCATGGAAATCAGAACAATAAACCTCCATCTGATCAGAGAGATGAAATCACACTGAGAATCTGTAACTTAGACTGAATCATAGTCATATATTACATGCCAAAATAGCAAATCTGTATCATAGCCTGTATCTACTCAAAACACTCCTACAGTACCTACATACTGCAAAATGAAGACCTGCACTACTTACAAGATGAGGAAGACTCAGTCCTGTTTCTGGATTCTGTGTAAGATACTTCAGGTGTCTTATCTGGGACAATGCTATTGCCCTCTGCTGTACAGAGGCACAAATGAGGCAGAGACAAGCAGTGAGGAGGTGACTTGACCGAAGACATCCACAAATCTGTGGCACAGACAGTGGAACCGGGCCAAGATGCCAGTTCTGTGCCTTAAATGTGAGGCAGACCCTTTTTATTCACTGTTTACACACGCTAGTTTGAGTAAATTCATCCCTAAAACATATGCAGTGATTCTTAAGATGGTGGTTTTAAGTACACATCTATTCCCAACTTTTGTTTGTTGTGCCAGACTCCAGCATACACAGTTCCTCCTACAGAACTGTAGGATATGGTGGTAAAGGCTCTGCAGGGATCTGCAAGGCAGGCCGAGTAAGGGAATTATGCTTTGGAATTGAGGAAACGTATTCAGTATTCCAGAGTGAGCCATTAAATACCTCCTTCTGGTTTCTGAATATTGGGTGGGGGAACTAGCCCATTTCTGAACAACAGCTGATACCTGAGCACGGAGCACAGCCATGGTTTCAAGGTCCTCCTCTTGCTTAGCAATTATCTGCTTCATTTCATCTATCTGGAGCTGCTTTGCAGCAAGGGCTTGTTCTGCCAACTCCACCTTTGCATTCAGTTGTTCCACCACAACTTTATCCACTCTGTCCAGCTGCAAGGAAGAACTATGATTATGAGATGAACTCAGAATATGACCCTGCTTGAAGTGAAAGGTTGCTTCTTACTCCTCCTGTCCTTGGAAAAGCTTCCAATTTTGGTCATCAAAGGAACTTGGACTAAGACAGCAGTGGTGATTGATATTTTATTTTAAAGATTAGTTTTGAGCTTTCAAACTACATTGTATCAAGTTAAAAGAGAACTCCCTAATGGACACTGCAAAGGATGTTTTCCCACTTTCCAAAATTATACAGAAGAATCTGGCACTTCATGGAGCCTCAGTTATGAACAAGACCTCACTGTGGCAGGCATTCTCTTTAAGATTACAAAAATGTTTAGAGGTCCACCTTCCCAAATTTACAAGTCATGCTGCAGGAACACCTATATGCCTTTGCATATCATTGATCTCTAATGACTGGCCTCCATACCACACTGCAGATTAGACCTTACCCAGAAAACACCATGGAAGTACTGATGTGTGGATAAAGTTTTCTATAACTGACAGCACAGGCTCTACGTTTACCAGAGCCATGCTGCTATGTTGCATGCTATATTATGTGGAAGGGATAATAATTGTTTCCTGCCCAAATTTGTTCCTAGATACATTCTCCCATCCCTTCCTGCTCCCCCCTAGTTAATTATGATTTCTTCTTGTGATGAGTTTACCTCTTTGAGTTTCATTTCACTGATTGTTTTCATTGCCTCAGTGAGTTCAGGAAGGAGTTTGCTATATGCATCCTGTAAGCTGCTATATCTTGCCCTGTTTATGACAAGAAAAGAGGTGAAAGCTTGAAACACTTAAAAATTCTTTGAAATCTAAATAATGTTATAATTTAGAAAAAAGCCACCACCAGCTCCTTGCAAATCAATCTGCATTTCTGAGGCAAAAAAATCATGCTTTGTCTCAACATCTGTCTTGCAATGAGTTGTGTGCTGCTCTATCTATGGACTGAGTCCAAAAAAATGTTCTTAGTGATTGTCTGCATTTCATATTGAAGGATCCATCACCCAGTATTTTTATATCAAGCTCACAAATTCTGTTCAAAATGTAAGACCTCTCTCAGGAAGACATCCAAGTCTTGACTCAGAGGCTTCAAGTCAAGCAGAATTCATCAGGAGAAGAACCACAGACTCCAAAGATAATGAGCAGCTTCTCCAGCAGCTCAAGACAGGTCCTTCAGAAAGTTCAGCCTCTCTGTACAGCTTGGACTGACATTTTCACACTCCTTACATGGACTGCACATAAAAGGGAGCAAGGAGCTTACAGTTCAAATTTCTCCAAAGTGAGGGGTTCAGTAGATGAAAGAATATAGTTTGAACCTAACGTGGAGACTCCAGATTCAAAATGACACAGATGCTGAGGTGAATGCAGGTTTCTAGTTCAGACTCTAGAAATATAACATGGTTTCAAAGGGTGCAGAACACAAAACTAGTATTTCAGATTCAATTCCCCTTTGGCCAGCTTCCCTTGAACTTCCCTTCCTCACTGACAATACCTCCCTGGAATATAAATCCAAGTCGTACTCACTTTTCTTCATGTGTCTTGGCTTGTTCCAGCTTCACTTCTGCCTGCATGCTCTCCACCTGAAGTTCCAGTTTCTTGATGGTGTATATTAGCTGCTGCTTCTCCTCCAATTCTGATGCAGCAGCCAAGCTTTTTCTTTCCAGTACTTGGCACCTGTCAGAACAAGGAAAAAAGGTTAATTGCTCCTGTTCAGTTTTTCCTGATGGATTTGGCCCACTAGGCATATTGCAAAAGGAATCTTTGTGTGGTTCACTTTAAAAGCTTATTTTGATGATGAACAAGGAAAGACAAAAATGAATCTATACACAACCATCAGAAAACAAAGCTACTGAAACCAACACTTTCTTTCTTACTATTATGAATCTCAAAGAACTGGAATTTGACAGAAACTAACCAACTAAAGTGAGGGTCTTGTAACCACTTTTTATAACCTACACAACTGGTCTACAAAAGCACAGACAGTTCATGTGAAAAGGGTCATAACCAGGTCCTTTAGCTTCTTCCCCTAAGACTAGAACAGGGATTGATTATGTGAAGCAGAGAACAGGAAAGATTTGCCTTTACATCAGGAAGGGTTAAAACCCAGATCTTAAAATTCAAGGCACTGGGGTTCTATTTGTAGAACTAGGCTGGCAGCTCAGATTTTCTGACAATTACTGTATTTCTGTACTTTCATCTCCACTTACAAAGAAGGACCAATCTTTTACAGCATTTCTATGAAACAGATAGTTAAGTTGGTATTTGCAGAGCTGGTGAGTTTCCCAAGGTGGGAGTTTTCATACAAATATATACTGGGTGTCACGGCAGAACTTTTGTTCTTCTGAATCTTACTTTTCTTGAAGCCTCTTCTGAATCAGTTCTGCTTCTTTTAACTTCTCATGGGCTTCCTGAAGCTCTTTAAAGAGAGCACAAACTTGCAAATTCAGGGTTTCCACTTCACTGCCAACCTTTCAGAAAAAAAAAATAAGGAAAATTACATATGGACAATTCAAGAGAGCAAAGTTGCAGGCTAAGAGATCTAAGCAGGAAGTATCATTCTTTAGAAAAATCATAAATCAGTATGCACCATTAGACTCTGTATGCAGTAATAAGGCCCCATCCACAAGGCTTCACCACTACTAATTATTCCTAAATGTGGCAGAACCCCATTTTGACTTAACACTTTCATAAAATCCAAGGGACTCAAAGACAACACTATTACTGACTTTCCAACGTTGGCGAGAACACACCTCATGCAGATGGGAAACACACCCACATTTTCTTTCTAAAGAGTTCACTATTTAAAGTACATGAGAAAAGCAGACAGACTTCGTGATTACTGCCACTCCTCTAAACAATAGCTATAGTCTGTCAAAGAAACACAAGCAAATGATCTATCCCTAGGTAGGCTTCCAGTCTGCTAGCATCAGTGTGCTCTTTAGAAAGGGGTGTGACAGCAGTTGTAGATCAGAAGCAGCAGTTTGGAAGTAGAGAAGTAGATGAGGCAGACTAAAACCTTAGACTTTCTCCTCCCAGTTATATCCTGCACTGGCATTATCCTTTCCATTCTAGTGTCACCGTTTAAGGCTGGGCCTGCAGTTAAAGCAGACAGCAGATGCTCTCTATTAACCCCTTCCTTCCCCCAGAAGGGGAAAGAAAGGAGAAAAGAGAGAGAGCCTTACGGGTTGGAAATTAAAACTACTTTAATAAAACAATAACAATGAAAAAACAGAATAATAATATCAATACTAATGCTACTAATAACAGAAATAAAAGAAAAAAATATACAAAACCAATCCTGAGCTTCCCAATGATGATTAGGGAATTGCAAACTGTGGCAGAGCAGGCAGCCAAATGTCCCGGACTGGACTCCGCAGCTGACAGGAACCGGATTCAGGAATGCAGGGATCAGGATCAGAGGCAGGGGGACAAGCAGGGTCCCACAGGGATGCCGGCCATGAAGGAAGAGAGCCTGACCCCCGTGATCCCTGAGCTTTATACTGAGGATGACGTGGATGGGATGGAGTACGGCACTGGTCAGTTTTTGGTCACGCGTCCCACCGCAGGTGTGGACTTTTCACTTGCTTAACATAAGAGAGCCAGCAGTGACCTTGGTTCTCATAGGAATAAGTATAAACATGGGCCTCTCTGCATACCAATCCCACCGTTACTTTAGTAACAACTATAAACATCAAGCGTTATCAATTCGGAAAGCAGACACTGTCTGGAAAACATGTAGCCAACTTCAGAAAGTACAGTTACTTAGAAGAGACTTAACTGAAAGTAAATCTACTGAAAGGAGAAATAGTCCTGTTTTAGCCAAACCAGCACATCTACTTTCCTCTGTTCTTGTTTCAGGCAGAAAGCAGAGAACACAGAAGTTTTTACGCATTGTAATTTATTTTGATTACACATGAAACCCCTCCAGCCAACGGCTACTCTCCCTACACATACCAGCCTCTCCCATACCACACACATGAGAACCACAGGTCTGGAAGATTTCAGCTTTTCAACTTTTTGAAGGAGAAAATACAACCCTAAATGGTAACTCCATTACCATGCATTCATGAATTAATTTTGCAAACCAGGAAGCTGACTTCTAGTAAAACTGTAATCAGTTTTGTTGCAAGTTTCTGGCCCTTTCATTTGGCCTTCAGACCACAGGAAGATCACTGAAGGATTCTAAGGACAGCCAAAAAACAAGAGGAGGAAAGAAACAGCAGCTGGGTTCTCCTCCAATCCAAGACACAAAGGACACCTCAGAGTTTGAATTCTTAAAATACATCCCCAAACTCTAGTAGGCATGAAACCTTTGACTCCTGCTGGTTTGTAGACCCTGAAGTTACACCCTGGAGCCTTCCTCAAGAAACATCTGAATCTCATCATCACACTAACATCAGTTTAATTGTCCCTGGTACCATAATTTTCATTGATAATATCTTATCTCATCAAATGCATGGAAAGTCTCCAGTCCAGCTTGGGAATGAGCTGGGTGGCTGAAAAGGTACCAGGTGTATCAAGAGCATGTGGCTAGACAAGTGGACAGTGAGGTGGATTGAGAACTGGCTGAACAGCAGAGCCCAGAGGGTTGTGTTCAGCAGAGCAGAGTCTAGTTGGAGGCCTGTAGCTCGCAGTGTTCCCCAGGGGTTGGTTCTGGGTCTGGCCTTGTTTAACCTATTCATCGATGACCAGGATGAAGGGGCGGAGCGTACCCTCAGCAAGTTCGCTGGTGATGCAAAACCGGGAGGAGTGGCTGATACACCTAAAGGCTGCACTGCCATTCGGCGAGAGCTGGACAGGCTGGAGGGTTGGGCGGAGAGGAACCTGATGAAGTCCAACAAGGGTAAGTGTAGGGTCCTGCACCTCAGGAGGAACAACCCCCTGCACCAATACAGGCTGGGGGTTGACCTGCTGGAGAACAGCCCCACGGAGAAGGACCTGGTAGTCCTGGGGGACAACAAGTTGCCCATGAGCCAGCAATGTGCCCTCGTGGCCAAGAAGGCCAAGAGTATCTTGGGGTGCATCAGGAAGAGTGCGGCCAGCAGGTCGAGGGAGGTTCTCCTCCCCCTCTACTCTGCCCTGATGAGGCCACATCTGGAGTGCTGTGTCCAGTTCTGGGCTCCCCAGTTCAAGAAAGACAAGGAACTACTGGAGAGAGTCCAGTGGAGGGCAACGAAGTTGATGAGGGCACTAGAGCATCTCCCTTATGAGGAAAGGCTGAGGGAACTGGGTTTGTTCAGCCTGGAGAAGACTGAGAGGGGATCTGATCAATGCTTATAAATACCTTAAGGGAGCATGTCAAGAGGATGGGTGGTGCCAGAGACAGGCTAAGGGGCAACGGGCACAAACTGAAACTGAGGAAGTTCCATCTGAACATGAGGAACAACTTCTGTACTTTGAGGGTGGCAGAGCACTGGCACAGGCTGCCCAGAGAGGCTGGGGGGGCTCCTTCTCTGGAGATACTCAAAACCTGCCTGGACGCAATCCTGTGCAACTTGCTGTAGGTGAACCTGCTTGGGCAGGGGGGTTGGACTGGGTGATCTCCAGAGGTCCCTTCCAACCCCCACCATTCTGTGATTCTGTGAAAAGCTCCAGTTTTCTAACAGGGAAAGTCCACCACTTCCCCAGGCAACTGCAGCAATGGAAGTTGTTCATTCATGATGACCTCTGAACACTTCCAGCTTTCATCTCAGAGCAGAAGTGTGGAACACAGCCAGCGTGACTGAGAGGCAGACAGAACACAATTGTCTACTGACAGATGTTGCCGAGGTCACCCTCCACAAGCTGCCCAAGCTAATATCATCCACCAGTCATACCAAGCAAAAGGGACTGAACATAATGGTGTAAACACTCACGAGCACATTGCACTATGCTTTTTCTACCTCAGAAGAGGTAGAATAGATCATTCTTCTACCATCATAGCTGCAAAACAAGCCTCAAAATTATTTTGTGCAGCAATCCAACTAATCCAGTCATGCTCACAGATGAAAGCACTGATTTTTGTAAGGTGATGGCATTCCAATTTGCAGAAAACTATACATCAGTAGAAATGGCCTTAACAGAAAAAGTGTCAACAAATGAAACCATATATCACTGGCAAGAGTCTGACTTTTAATAAAGCTGGACTCTGAATTCTTGGTCCCTGGAGAAAACCATTGTAATTCAAGATATTTTACTTAACTGGAACACAATTAATCCATGCTTCTGGAAAGCAAGTCTGGCGGCCTTGCTCAAAGAAAAGGCTAACCTGACCCAAAAAAATCCCATCCCACAGTACAGACTGTCTCTCCCCAACACCCATGTCTTACCCTGCACCGGAAAGGAGCAACACCCAAATCATAGCCTCCCAGATCTCTGCTTCTGGGAAGCTTGCAAGCAGCCTCCCAGGGAAGGCAGAGCAATAACTGCAGTGGTGCTTTAAGATGACTCATCTCAGGAACCTGGCTGAGGTTAGTGTCCAGCTGCTGTTTGGCAGAGGATGTGCTCTAGCCTCTTCTCCCCAAGTCACTCCTCACTCTCCAAACAGAGCCAAAGCAGGTTTGAAAAACTTTTTCCCTTCTCCCAGAACGTCTTCAAATGCAGAGCCCCCAAAAATGGTCCACACTGCACCCCCACATGGTTTCATTAAATATCTATGTTTTACAATAGGGGCAGGTAACACGAGCTCCACTGACAAGAGCCCTCTGAAGAAACCCAGCAGCATATAAATGGAAGTGACTGCCGTCACAAGCACGTAACTATGCTGACCTCAATATTGGCGTGTAGATGAGGGGCATCTGGCTCAAGTTGTAACTCAGGCAAAGTTAAGATAAAAATATTGGAAAGAATTAACTGAGACATCATCTGCTTTCCCTAGAAAGGACATCTCTTGGCCTGACTACAAACTGGTCTTGTTTAATTAAGCCAGCCCTGCCCTAAAATACTTGTCCTGGCCTTCAGAAAGGCACAGGTCTCCAGCAGATCCCATGGCATATTTGCTAGCCCCATGCAGCACCTCAGATAACCCACACGACCTCATATACAGGCACTCTTAGTTGCCTGTACTATGCAGTTGCACCGAACCTGAATGGATCTCCACTGCTGTGGGAGCTTACACACTTATCTCACATAGAGAGGCTTACAACTGTAGGCACATAAATTTCGGTGTCTGAATCTAGAGTTGAATCCTAACCCCAACAACCATTCAAACCCTTAATTGAAAACATCAGGACTGAGTTTGCTTGGAACTGTGTCTCCATCCAAGATAGTTATGCATATACAATACATCCCACCAAAAACATGGAAAAAATCAAACCACGTGCCATATGAGCTCCACATTTAAAGTCTGTTTTACAGTACGCCGTCATTGGATTCTGATCCAAAAGCTGACCTAGCCAGCAGCGAGGAAATTCACCCAATCTAGAAGAGTTTCTGGAGCTAGAAATAACAGCACCTCTCTCTGTTTAGTGGGCATGGCTAGGGCAATGAGGTATACCTGCAATTATGCCATGCTTCCCTAATTCTTGGCCATCAATCTCACCCCTTTTTGGGGGCTGGTGTAATTTGGAATCACCTCTAAAATATAGATAGGAGAGTTCAAAATTCACTTCCATACCCTGTGCAGGATAATTGCCTCTTGCTCCTTGAGTGCAAGTGGAAATCTAGGCCCTGAGGTTGTTGGCCTCAACGAGTAAGCTGTATGTTATTCAATCTCAGCTCAGGAGGACAGGTACTTACAGCCTCGGAACTCTCCTCTTCTTCGTGTTCAGTTTGTGTCCCACTCTCCAGGCAGTTGCTGGCTTCCTTCTCCAACTCTGACAGTCTGGAAAACAGAAGGAGCCAATAATGATGGGTTTGGCCTATACTTAAAGCGAGATTGTGACTATTCAAGGATTTCATGCAAGTGATGTACTATCTTTCTAACATGACAGCCACAAACGAGAGGCAGAATTGAAAGCACAGACCAGCAGGAAAGCCTGCACAATCACGAGGGTTCCTGAAGAACACAAGACACCTAGCATGTATATTTCACTAAAATGGATAGAGAAGCCTGCAGTTGTGGTGAAGGACAGTGACATTCAGCCCACAGTGATCAATCTTTGGTACAGTCCAAAACTGCACACCCTTTGGAAATGGGTCAGCCTGTTCACTGAATCCAGGAATTAATATTGCCTCTATTTTCCTTTGGTATTTTCAGAGGCTGAGATTTCTAAGAATCATTGGGCTATGGCTCATTACCTTTTCTAGGAAGGCCATGTAGGAGCAATTACAGTGACACCAACCTTTCATAGTAGATAATGTCCAGGAAGTCTTACTCTGTCTCTGCGAAGTGAGGATTTGGAACAGCTATTGCTTAGGCAGTTTTCCACGCCTGAACAGTCATGCCGATTTATACCACTATAATTGAGCTGAGACAGACCCTCATGCAGGTCTCACTGGAAAAACTCTCTTAGACAAGTTTGGAATTAAACTTATTTTGGACACTTCTAAGAAGCTTTTGCAAACTCACACATTGCTAAATGTAGCCTGCCAATATCACGAAGAGGACTGTAATCCCTGTTTTATACATGGTGATTTGCTTAAGGCCCCACACGCAGATGATTCATACAAGAACAAATAACTATGGAGGAATGAGTGGAGAGAACATCCTCAAGTAGTCATTATATGATTCTGACATAACCTGGGGAAAGTTCGAACCCAAGAGGAAATGGGTAACTTCTCTTGATCTGTGGTGCTATAGGAAATAATTAAAAAATATGGAAACTCTTTTGCCCATGGAAGAGAACCTGTGGTTTATCCCTATAAGGACTACCACAAAAATAAGTTATTACTACTGAGTGTTCGGGAAATTCCCCATCCAGGTCACACTGATATTTCAGCTTGTCGCTGATCAGCCACAGACTTGGTACTGCACCAGCCCTGAAAGAGAACAGCTCCAAATGTTACAGTGCATCTACTTCATACCTCTCTTTGTGATCCTGCAGCTCCTTCTCCAGTTTTTCCCTCTTCTGAGTTTCATTTCTAAGGCAGCAGAGCAGCTGGCTCACAGTTAGCTCTTCAGACTCCAAATTCTTAGATTCATCCACAGGTTTGTTCCTGCGTCAAACCAAACCAGATGTAAATAACAACAGCTATGATTTTACTAGAGCACTCCTTTATCTCTAATTCTGTGATCCAGTCTGAGAGGCCACCGTTTCACACAGTGCTGAAAACCAACACTCTGAGCAAAGGGCTCATTCCCAAGAACGAAGACCGCTAGTCACAGTCCCTGTGCGTGCAAATGCAGTCCTTGCTTTGCGCAGTGCTCAGACAGTCCCCTCCAAGCTGGGGGAACAATTTAGTAATTAAGCAAGGAAAACAAAAGCGGTCAAGACAATACAAAATCCAGTGCATTTATTCTGACCTACTTTGCAGCCCCTTTTGCAAAGTGCTGCTGTCTGTTCCCAAAATAACTTTTTTTTTTTCCCCTCAATGAAGCATGCAACATTTCTTCTCTCTGTCTCATTCCTTTCCAGGAAAAGAAGGCACGTTCCAATAAAAACAGTCATCAGAAATTGCTTTCTTTTTCAGAAAAAATCTCTTCAATGTTTCACCTCCCTCATAGCTCTTTTCAAAATCACATTATGCTACCTCAGAAGTGAACCAAAACAAATACAAAACTATCTGAAAAATACAGCAAGTTAATTTCCTGGTGATACAATACTGTATTCTATTCCTTCCATTTTCATGTCCATCTAGACAGAAGGTCAAAATCCCCTAACTATATGGTAAAATAGGCAGGTTATATAGACTGTACATTTCAGAAGCTCAGCTGTAAAACAGTATGTGTTTAAAACTTTGCTTTTGTAGTTCAGAACGGAAAGTAAAGCATAGTTCTCTATGTGCTCCTGAGAGCCAAAAATCTTTGGTGAGCAAAATTCAATACCCCAAAGACAGCGTTCAGCCAGGATATTTTAAGTAAATAACTTTTATCGGGGGATTTTTAGTGCACAGTTCTCATCTTACAGAAATAAACCTGTCCTGAGTGGATCACATTTCTCTGAACCTGTTAACAGCACCAGTCTAAAGTTTCAATACTGGACAAAGACATGTGGTGACACAGGAAATATTTTAGGAGGTACATGTACCCCATGTTCTTGTAGATGTGGCCCAGATATTCATCAAAAGGTAAGCAAGTCCCACAGAGAATGTCTTCTGGTAATCAAGAGTGTTCTCACAAGCCACCAATAACGACAAGCTTAATACTTGCAGCCTGGTCTATGGTCAGCAATTCTCTGTTTCATCCATGACCATACCTTTAACCCCCTCCCACTTCAAATTCTTAACTGCACGCTGAGGGACACGTTTTCTATGTCATTACATTAAAACGCTGTTCTCCCTTGCAGTGACGTAGGGAGTGACAACCTGTACATGGAGCACAGCTTTCCGGCCTGCTATGCCCTTAGCATTTTCTATATCCTTTCCTTCCAAAAGCAAAGGGCACAAAGTAAATAAGAGAGTTCAGCCACAACCATCTAGCTGCTAAATTGGGCAGTATCCAAAATGGAAAGTTTAATAGTATCAGCTGTCTATGTCCATGAGGAGTAAAGGTTCAGCTAGGGGCAAGAAAGTCCCTTGTGTCCTGGAGCTGATGTAAAGATCAAATTTTGAGAAGTAACCTAAACAGAATCCTGTTATCTTAAGCCTAGTAACGTGAAAAATAAGGACTATGTTATTGCACTGTCTACCCCACCGTCATACACTTTATACCAACCACACACAAACAGAACAGACAGGTTTAGATCTGAAAGACTACAAGACCTCTGATCCTTACCAACATCGTTATAATGGGGTTGAGGACAGATACTCTATCAGATGGTCTCCAATGACTAGAAGAGAGGGAGTCCCTGCAGCCTCTATCTGTATCTTTTCTGTTTGGCCTCCCTTAAAAGCCTGAAAAGTTGGCAAGTCAGCATGTACATAAATGCCTGGCTAACTGGCCAGAATATGCACTCTCTCTTGTCAGCTAGTGAAAACTGAGGGGAAGAATGTCAGAGAGCTGAGGGTCTTTCTGACTTGGTAGGAAGGTAGAGCTACTGCAATGGAGGGTTGCAAGGCCATAGAAAAACAGAATTTTCTAGTGTATTCCTCATAGAAAAAAGTTGCCTCACATTGAAAACAAAACACTTTGCAGAAGTCTGAATCACATACATCACACAAGAACCTACGTACATGTAGGTAGCAATGTTACTGGCCATTTCACCACTATTCTCTTGCTGTTCCTTTGCAGTTCTATTTACTTCGCCTTCCTAGGAAAGGAAAAAACACTGTTAGCTTGATATTCGGACTAAGCAGGACACCGTTTTATTTACTTGAATTAAGGAAGGAAGAAAAACAGGGAAAACTACTATCATGGCAATAAAAAGAAATAAAACCATAGAACTCCTACAGATCAGTTTCATGTTTGGAAATTCTTAACTTAAATACTTCATATGCCTTTCCCTGTATCTCTTCCAGAAAAGAGGAACAACAATGATATTTGGCCTTCTCCCTTCATCAGCAACTTCCATGGCCACTCTCCCCCATAAAGATCACTGGGCACCACACAGCAATGGCCAACACCACTGCAGGTGACTTTAAATATAAGCCTAAAAACCATTCTCCTGCCTCCCAAAAGAACCACTCTTCATTCCCACTACAAAACTCACTCCCTGATCTTTGTAGCCCAAAGGAGAATCTTTGTAGCAAAAAAAGGAGAATGCATCCTTGAAGGTTTCCTGCAGTCTGAAGTTTTCTTCGACAACTCCAAACAAGTTTTAATTAAGTTCTCTTAATTTCTTGTTGCACTTGTGCTTTCCAGAGAGGGATCTGCTATTATGGGGATAGGGGAGACTCACATTTTCACTTTTCACATTCTGCCTGTGAAGATTTTTCAGATACAAGAACAGTAGAAAAAGTAGATTTTTGCGCCTCTAGGAATCCACTACAGCTTTGCATTTAGTTTTGTTTGCCTGCATCTCTACATATCTGTCAGTAGAAAGTGAGCCTCATTCTCAAAAGAAAATGCCCCCCTCCATGCATAGATCTTGCCCCTTAACAAAACATAGTACCGATGTTCCCAGGAATTCCAGCTAAGACTCTTAACATTCTGAATTAGTCCAAAGTCACCTGCTGGACTCTGTTGGTTTTTCCAGAGAATATTTTTAGTGTAATGGAGGCTACCTACAAAATTAATTTACTTTGAGCATGAAAGTGGAAGGACAAAAATAAATTCCAAGTCCTTTACCACTACATCTTGTAATACATAAGCGCCACGTCAGGTAATATACAAGACCACAGAATCATAGAATCATTTAGGTTGGAAAAGACCTTTAATATCATTGAGTCCAACCACACAACTCTTCTCCCAAATCCATCATACCTGTATCTTGTGCTACTGCTGTTGCTAGCAGTTTGTTGTTCCCCTTCAAAGAGGCATAAAGACTTTTCATTAATATGGGTATAGATTCACCCTTTCTACTAAAGGAAGACAGGGTGCTAAATACCTCACTGTAGAGTGTCATCAAGCAAACACTGTCACCGTAATTACACTCAAATCTGACTTCCGTATCATTTAACCTGATACAAGAAGAAAATTCAGTTTGCAAAAAAAAGAAAAAAAAGGAGGACCAAGCTGGAACCAAAGTTTCTGGCCACAGGTCACTCTGTTGTTTTTATTCCCTTCACTTACATTCATCCCAATCTCCACAAAGGAATCGTCTGTTGAGATGTTCAGCTTGACCTGCAGTTCTGAAATGATGGCTAGCAGATCTGCCTTCTCAGCCTGGAGCCGCTGCACCTGAGATTTCAGCTGCCTCGCTTCCTTCTCGGGAGCCATGGAGCCCTCCTGGGATAAATGAACCCTGCATTAGCCAACCAAAAGGAAACACCAGCTAAGGAGCACAGAGCCTGAACGCAACCACGATGTCCTGCATCCCTACTTCTCTGTTTAGGTTTGCCAGGAAAAGCCCACTGTATAGATCCCTAAACTATGGTCCACTAGACAGCAAGAAGTCTAAACTGTGAAATCAAGTTAAACAAATGATGAGCATCATGCTTCTAGGAAACATGAGCCTGGTTCTCTGAATGTACAAATTAGGATGTAAATCTTTGCCTGAATCTATGCTCTCACTACCACACAGGGTCTCAGCCGACCTACAGAATTATTGTGTTTTTTCACCTGTATTCTTATTCCTCTTTTTCCAAATCTACCTAAGATTCTAGGGAGAAAAGGCCAGTGGGCAGAGAGCTTTTCCACACACCCCACTGTCCGCCTTTCCCCACCATACAACGTCTCTGTACCCTATCTCCATGTATAAATCTCTCTCTGTATCCCTGACCTTCACACAAAGTCCTATATCCCTTCCAGAAAGCCTCTGTCCCTCAGAGATTCTCCCCAAAATTCATCTCTCCTTCCAATCATGAGTGTCTCCTTCACCTTCTGCCTCGTCCCTTTCCTCAGGATCCTCAAAACTCTCTCTTAAGCCTCTACATAACCAGGAAGCCTCATTTTTTTTTCCTCTCCTTTAAATGCCTCTCCCCATTATGAAACTTTCCCTGTGAGTTGTTTCTTCCTTATTTTGTAATCTGAGCCTTCCACCTCCTAGTAGTGCCTTTATGACACCACACACCATCAGTGTAAATTCTGGACAATTCCTGGAGTCTGAATTACATTCTAATCTATCACTCATAGCAAATCTCCAAACTCTTGTTATGCTGACAGTGTCTCTCATCCTGCAGTACCACCCTACCCACCTCGGTTGCTGCTGTCTCTGATTTCGTGCTTATGCTGTAAGAGTATGCAATTAGAGTCAGTTCCAGGGAAGAAGAGAGAGCTTTACAGCAACATGTGCCAACAGAGGTACAGTTTTGAGAGAAACCCTCCTACGAATGCTGATTTATCACTAAAGGAGGCAACACAATATATCTGTGATTTATTTTCAGTGAAACAGAGATGTCACTTAATGGTAGCAATAGACTATAGGCTATGTCAGTTAATAATAAAACACAGAGGTGAGAGAAACTAGACTAATTTTAAGTTAGTCTTTCTGTTAGAGGAAATTTTTTCATGTTCCTTCTAAACAATAAAAAAAAAAGAATTGAAGTAGAACTAAGGCGTTCAAGAGAGAAAGTTATTTTGGCTTAAATGACACCATCAGCCTGAAAATCATAATCAGAAATTAAAATGTTGCTGTTTAAATTACAGTTACCACTGGCTGATAAAACTGCAAAGAATCATGGAAGAACCAGGGTTTACTCTATGAAGTTCTTGGAATGAGATAATGAAAAGAGATTTATTTTTACTTTTCTGGATGTTACTCAAGCAGGTTGGATCACTCTGTCAATAACATACTTTAAGTATTCAAAATACAAGAAGTTCTAAAACAGGTAGAGGCAGAATAAATCCTTTACTTCTCCTTAAAAACTATTCCGGATTTATGAAATTCTGAGTTTCCTTGACAAGCCTGAAACACAACTTTTAGCCTGTAAAGATTGTGTAGAGTAATACTTTATACATGTATATATACAAAAATAGTATACATGTATACTATTTATACATGTCTTACTTGCCCCTTGTAACTTCTGAACTCATTGGCCAATTTTGATTTACATACTGAAAAATTTCTTACAGAGTTCTGTAAAACAGGCAGTCCGGAGAGGAAAGGAGAGTCTATTAGTGTCTCTGTTGATAAAAAAGCTAATACACTCATCCTTCATCAGGCAACAGGGAATCCACATGGGTCCTGGAGGGACCACATACCAGGATGCATCAGTTTGGCTCTGCATGAAACTTCTCATTAAACATCTCTTCACATGGCCATGTGGGACACAAAGCAGGTTTTGTTTTAATAGGCTTTGTCCATACAGGTCTTCAGTACTACCTGCAAAATGTTGCCTGGCTACTAAGCAATCACCTGCAACATTAGAAATGATGTGTTACCGAGCCAAAGGTAAGACAGAGGGAGAAAGCTCAGTCAGACTCAAATGGCGCAGCAGAAGTACAGATCTAATCTGACCTCAGTAAAAGAGCTTTCATGAGAGGAGAATGATATAATAACTATAGATGGCAGGTCTTTTTTTTTTTTTTGCTTACAAGTCAACTTCTCCCTGGAAATAGATACCCAACAGTAAACAAAACAAAGCATTGAAAGTTAGCAGGAAATGTTAACTTCTTATGTCTAGAATGTTAATTACTATTAATTAAATGTTAGTGGAAATGTAAATTATCTCAGATGTGGCACAATTTTCTGTTAGTACACCGAGAAGCCTCACTTTACAAAATAAGTCAGACCAAGACCTCTTATTAGAGTCTAAGGATAAAAATGGAGATGTTAACAAATCTCCAAACTTCCCAGTGCGATGAAGGGACTGAATGCTCCAGACTTTCAATTCAAAAGTGTGTTAATCCAACCAATTCCTTATTTACCATTTCAGCTCCTTCTTCTTTTTCCTTTAAGCTCTGAAGTTGTTGCTGTAGCTGTTCATTTTCAATGCACTTGGCTAGCAAGCACTGCTTAGCCTCTTTAAACCTTAACTCGTAAAATTCTCGTTCTTCTTTCTGCTTCTTTCGCCAGATGGAAAGTTCCTCATATCGGTCCTTCATAGCTTGGTTATGCAACTTCATGGCTTCTAAACGATAGCCAGAGACAAGACATTGATTCACATTAATATTCTGTCAGTGAAACAGCAGATTTCCACTACACTGAGCTCAGCATTCTTCAGTATCAAACAGGTTAGCAATAACTGGGTATGAAATGTGAACTTCCTTCTCATGTACCTTAAATATCAAACCAAAACTAAACTTATTATAGTCCGGTAGCACTATAATAAATAGCATTAAATCCACTGCTGAAATCACATGCCCACACTCTCTCACTTCATGACTTATTCCTAAACCAAGAAGTACAAGCAATAAGTACTGTTCAGAAGAGGTACTTGCCATCTTGCTGCTTGTGTTATTTACGTGATCAACCCAAATAAAACTACTGAACAGAGATTCTGAAACCACTGAGACTTCGGAGGGAAAACAGACATCCTAGACTGGTAAATTACCACATGAAAACAGATGCTATCAAGTCAAATGTCGCAAATATGCCCAGCAATGCTCTGCTTGAACATTTGGTTAAGATTTGATTGAAAGCATTGAAAAAACATACCTGACAACTTAGAACAATGTCAGTTCCTCCTGGCTGGGAAGCCATGGGTATGTAACAAAGTCAGTATGTAACGTCAGCCTTACTATTGCAAAATGCTTACAAGATTTTTAGGAAGAGTCAATGAAAGTATTTCAGACTTACTTTTTTTAAAGCAACAATCTCAAGGTCAATTGCTTGAAAATATTTTATACATTGTATTTTCCACTAACTTTCTTTAAGTCCTAATGTCATATTATAAACTGCCAACAAATCCTTCAGGCTATGCAAAGAAATGTAGCTCTGGAAAGTGATTCTGCAAGGTATGAGTTACAGCAGCTGTAAATATGGTCCCAAAACATTATCTTATATGATATAGGACCCTTTAGCAAAATACCAGAGGTACTTCTAGAAACAACTTTCCTGCCAGATACTCATGAAACTCCAAGGCAGAGAACTTGGGCCAGGTCCAAAAATGATTCAGGCAAAATTTAAACAGTAGTGTAAAATCACAGCACGCAAGATATGTGACTTCATGCTCTGCTGCCACATAAACAGTGAGGTACCTCTGTCTTTTACACAGGAAATTCTCAGATCTCTTGGGTTTTGCTCTATCCATTTAAAAAAAAAATATCTTATCTGACACCTAAACTCCTGGCATCCAGAAACAAATGTATCTCACCTGAAAGACTCAAATCATTAGGCATTTTCAGGGAAACCTATCGGCTTCTCCCAGAGACACCCTGCCGTGGCCACCACTTCCTTTTGAAGTACAGAAGGTGCTGGTGCTGCCACACCTAGTTCATAGTCATTACTATTACAATGGTTGGACTCGATGATCTTAAAAGTCTTTTCCAACCTGAACGATTCTATGATTACTACATACATTGCAGGACAGCCTGCTCCAATTCCCCTCTCCGACCGAGGATGCAGCTCCTTTCAGACAGCATCCTACCCCAAACTGTTCTTGGCGCTGTGCAGTATCCACCCCTCCTGATGCACCTATGGCAAAATGTTTGTCTGTAATGCAGCTGCCCAACAGTCCTAAAATACAAACCAAAAAAGCTTTTGGAGGTTGACGAGCAAAGTGTATATCATACCAAGACATTTTTCACCTCGCCTCCTAAAATACACAAGTGCTATACTGCTTATATGTATAATTCTAAAGCAAGTAAGTCACCCATACATTGGACTGTTCTCCCCCTAATCTTCCATGACAATTCAATTTCATGTGTCCTATCAAATTGGCCTTGCCACTTGCAGAGTCATTTATACAATGAATGCTACCCAGGTATAAAATGTTATCCAGCAAGGGCAAATGAGCACAGAATTCATACCCATAGGACAAAAAAACACCACAGAAGAGACTCAGGGCTTTTGCATTTCAAGACCAGTTCTCATGCACATTCACCTTTTAACTCATTGTTCTCAGTGATTAGTTCTTTCATCTGTTGTACCATCTCTTCTGGGGTGTAAGTACTAAGGGCAGGGGCACCCACGCTGTCTGTTCCATTTTCCATTTTACTCCTGGGGTGCTCTCCATTTTCA